GGGGTGGGAATTCCATGGGATTTGGGGTTTGGGATAATGGGATGGATGGGCCGAGAGCCGGGGGTTCCTCTACTGTGAGATCTCGGCCCAGAGCAGGGAGGGAATCCCCGAAATGTTCCAGGTGGGAATTGCGGGATCGGGAACGGGATTGGGGTGGGATTTGCAGGGTCGGGAATGGGAATGGGGTGGGAATTCGCACTGGGAATGGGGCTGGGAGTTTGGGAATTCCCGGGGATTTGGGGTTTGGGATAAAGGGACGGAGAGCTGCGGGTTCCTGTACTCTGAGACCTCGACCCAGAGCGGGGAGGGAATCCCCGAAATGTTCCAGGTGGGAATTGTGGGATTGGGAATGGGATCGGGATGGGAATTCTGGGATCTGGGTGGGAATTCCATGAGCTGGGATGGGTCTGGGAGCGCGGAACAGTGGGAAGTCGGGGAGTTTGGGATCATCGGGATTTGGGATCATCGGGATCATCCCTGGGAATTGGATCCGGGATTGTCCTGGGAATCGCTGCCTTTAGGATCCTCACAGGATCCCTGGATCCTCGATCACACTTGGGTCATTTCACAATCCCATAAACCCACGGTCCCATCACCCCATAACCCCATAACCGATAACCCCATAAGCCCATAACCCATAACCCCATAACCCCATATCCTATAACCCCATATCCCATATCCCATAACATTTGGGGTTTCCCAGCTGTTTTACCCCATAACCCATAACATTTGGGGTTTCCCAGCTGTTTTACCCCATATCCCATAATCCCATAACATTTGGGGTTTCCCAGCTGTTTTACTCGGCCCTGGTGGATCTGTGTGATAATGGGGTCAGCGTCCCCCGTGTCCCTTGGGTCTCAGTTTCACGCGGGAACAGGGGGATGTCTGACCCCATAACCCCACAATCCCATAACTCCACAATCCCATAACCCCATATCCCATAACATTTGGGGTTTCCCAGCTGTTTTACTCCACCCTGGTGGATCTGTGTGATAATGGGGGTCAGCGTCCCCCGTGTCCCTCGGGTCTCAGTTTCACGCGGGAACAGGGGGATGTCTGACCCCATAACCCCATATCCCATAACCCCATATCATCCCATAACCCCATAACATTTGGGGTTTCCCAGCTGTTTTACTCCGCCCTGGTGGATCTGTGTGATAATGGGGCTCAGCGTCCCCCGTGTCCCTCGGGTCTCAGTTTCACACGGGAACGGGGGGATGTCTGACCCCATAACCCACAATCCTATAACGCTACAATGCCATATCCCATAATCCCATAACATTTGGGGTTTCCCAGCTGTTTTACCCCATATCCCATAACATTTGGGGTTTCCCAGCTGTTTTAC